CCCGGTCCGGTACGGGGGCAACACTGAGGGTTGCGATCCGTTGCCGGACACGGAAAAAGATAAAAGACAAAAAAAAAAAGACCATGGAGTGGGAGGATGTGGCTTGTCCTGGCCCAGCTGAGAGGCTCAAGGGACAGCCGTGAGGTGGGGTGGATGGCTTGAGCTTAGCACTTTGTCGCCCAGGGGCCCCAGCTGGTGAGGTGTGAGCTGCCAGAGGCTGGGGCAGCTGCGGCTTTACAGCACACAACAGGGGGGCAGGCACGTAGCACAAAGCCCGGCCTGGCCTGGGCCCCCAGGAACAATGCAGTCCAGGGCTTTGGAACCAGGCCAGCCTGGAATACTGAAGGCAGGCAGGTGGTGACCAGGGAAGAGAGGCCGGGCAGGAGCTGGGAGGCCTCAGTTCTCACGCCTGCAGCAACTGCTGCCAGTGGCCAGTTTGACTCTACCTGTCATAGTGTTGGGGGAAGTGGACGGTACGCTCACTGAGCACAGTGTCCAGGACTGTGGAATGATAACCATAACAGCAGCTACTAATGGCCATCGTGTCAGGCTAGCACTGATGCCTTACACAATGGCTTCAATCTTCACAACAATCCTGTAAGACTGATACCATTTCTATCTGCATTTTACAGAGGAGCAAACTGAGGCTCATGGAGGTTAAGTTGCTTGCCCAAGGTCATGTTGCCACAAGGGGTGGAATTGAGACTCAAGGCCAGGTCCTTCTGACATTCCAGAGCTTTAGGCTCACACCATCAGCTCCACCATCTCCATGATGAGGGGACCAGGTTAGTGAATGTTCTCAAGAAGCAGGTGAGGGTTGGCTGGTTAGCTCAGTTGTTAGAGTGTTATAACACCAAGGTCAGGGGTTCGGATCCTCATACCCACCAGCCACCAAAAAAAAAAAAAAGAAGAAGCAGGTGTGAACCTAGAACAGGGTCACCTTTGACCAGCCCTAACATCTAACAGGAGGCTCTCCTGCATGTGACTTCGGGAAAGCTCCTGACCTACCCAGTCTCTGTTTCCTGCTCTGTCCAAGACTCTCTGATCCTGTTCAGGTTGGATTTCAGTTCTGCCCTCACATGGTAAATAGTTGAGGGCATAAAAGGGGAGTGATAAAGGCTGCTAGAATTTGGAGGAGTCAGATTCTTTAAGAGAAATAAGAAACCACCTGAGCTGAAAACCACAGCCTCAAAATCTTGATGGGCTTTGAAGTTGGAACCATGATTTTGACAACTGCATAATGATATTTTTCTTCTTTGAAACATATTTTGCTTCAAGTTGGAGGGGTGGAGGGGTGGGTCAGCAGCAGGGGTCAAGGCCTCTGGAATCAGGTCTTGCCCTGTCTCCCGCAGTTCCCATTTCCCACAAGAAAACTCTCCATGTTTTGGAAAAGCATCAGTTATCAGAGCAGGAAAGGATCATAGAGGCCACTGTCCCAACTGACCCATTTTGTAGATGAGAACACAGAGGTTCTGGGAAGCAGACTAATTTGTGAAGGAGCCCAAGGCCTCCTGACCACTCTGTCTTGTAAGAATCTCCAGTATCAGCCTTCTCATCGCCCTTCCCCTCCCCTCCCCCAAAGTGGTCCCCAGCATCTCACCAGGAGCTGCTTCATGGGGTAGTCTCTCAGCATTCCATCTCGGGGAGAGTCCAGCACCACAGGGAAGCCTTTGTGGGGGGCCTCGATATAGCCAAACTCAATCTCATCCTGTGGGGACACCAGGGAGAGCTGTCAGATGAACCCAGGGGCTGCCAGTGAATATCAGTCAGCCTGAGAGGGGGTTGGGATTGAGAATGGGTAATTGGGGCACACAGGCAAACAGCTCAAAAAGCACAAAAGCGTACAGCATGAACAGCACCCTGCTTCCTGCAAGCAAATGATGGCAGCGCATTTTTCCCCAGTCCCTGCACATCGCAAGTACATTTCTAACTGACATTGACCTTATTATTATTATTTTTTTTTTTGCCTTTTTGCCTTTTTTCGTGACCGGCAACAAATTGCAACCCTCAGTGTCGCGCCCGCACCGGACCAGGACCGGCAACGGGATCGCAACCCTCGGCATTGCACCCGCACCTCGCTCAGCCTGTGAGCGGGAACCGGCCTGTATGTGGGCTCTGAACCCTCGGCGGGAGCGCTGCCACACTTCCCAAGCGGCGCACTGTAGCAGTGCGCCACCAGGCCGGCCCGACCTTACTTTTAAAAACATAAATGGAAGTATCCTGAAAGTATTTTCCTTCATGTAACAACTTAAGGCAAAGCATATTCGGCATCCGTATTTACAGATTGGATTCATTCTTTTTAGCTGTTGCATAGTACTCCACGCTAAGGCTGTTCGCAGTCCCCCACGGATGGACAATTAGGTTGCTCTACAGTCTTTTGCCATCACAAGAGGCAACACTGCAGTGAATCGCCTTGTACATTCATGTCTTTGCACACATGTGCAGGTATGAGCTGACAGAATTCCCACACACGGAATTTCTGGGTGCCAGGGGATTTACATTAAGCCAACTCTTCTGGCCTGAATCCCAGGCCATGTCCTTTCCAGCCTGGGCCTGGGCTCCTCACCTGAATCCAGCGGTCGCCTCGGTTAATGTACTGGAAGCAGACCTTCAGTTCACAGTTGGTTTTCTCTACCAGGTTCTTCACCTCTTTTAGGAACAGGTAGTTGTCCTTCATACTGCAAAGTTTGAGGAAGAGAGGGAAGCCAGGAGGAAGGGTGAGGAGGGACAAGGGCTATTCCCCTGGGGTGGTGATAGCAGATGGCACCTCTGGGCTGCGCTGGGCAGATGAGGCCACATCTGTGCTCACACTTGCCTTTGTAAAGGCTGCTAGAATTAAGGGCCAAGTAAACCCAGCCACTCATGTGGTCAAGACCGTGAGCAAATTAGATGAGGATGGGCATCTCACTCCCACCTGCCCCAAAGCCTTACATCTCTGACTCCCCAGATTTTCAAAAAAGAGCTATGTGTGGCGTGAAGGCAGGGGATGGGCCCGAGGACCTCAGGGGTCCCTTTCAGGGCTGCCAGCATCTACCTATAGGCATGTCTTTCCCTTGCCTCGCATTTAGTGGTGGCTAACCTAGCACGTAATAGGTGTTCAATAAAAGTTTGCTTAATGAATAAGATGAACTGAATAACCTTTGCATAGGAGGTTCCCAACTGTACGATACAGGTCCCAGAATGAGAAAAGAAATGATAGTTATTTATTTAATTTATTATTTTTATTATTTTTATTTTATTTTTTTTGTCTTTTTGTCTTTTTTCGTGACCGGCAACGGATCGCAACCCTCAGTGTCACGCCTGCACCGGACCGGGACCGGCAACGGGATCGCACCCCCCGGTGTTGCGCCCGCCCCTCGCTCAGCCAGTGAGCGGCCGATCTGTATGTGGGATCCGAACCCTTGGCAGGAGCGTCGCCGCACTCCCAAGCGGTGCATTGTAGCAGTGCACCACTGGGCCTGCGCCCGCCCCTCGCTCAGCCAGTGAGCGGCCGATCTGTATGTGGGATCCGAACCCTCGGCAGGAGCGTCGCCGCACTCCCAAGCGGTGCATTGTAGCAGTGCACCACTGGGCCGGCCCTATGATAGTTATTTTTTAAGCCCGCACTCTGTGCCAGGATGATGCTTGGATAAATGCTTTACCTGCTTCATCTCATTTAATCCTCACAGTGACTCTGTGAGGTAGGCATTCCAGAGAAACCGAGACATGGAGAGGCCAAGTGAGTTGCTCAAAATCACACAGTTGGTAAGTGATTGGGTCAGGAAACAAACTCAGGTCTATCTGGCCCTGAAGTCCCAGCTCTTGGCCATTCTGAGTCATAGTCACCCCTTACCAGCACACAAACACCGATACAGGAGGCAGGATGTTGGGGGTCATGATCCACGGAGCAATCCGGAATGTCACAGTGTCTGTGAAGATGGGTGTCAGGGGAATCTCCTGGGTGTGGGAGAGAAAGAGGGGTCAAAAAGTCTGATAAGGGTGCTTTCCACTCCTGCCTTCCAAAGTGGGTGAAACTGATTACAACAGTACATTTATTGAGCACTTACTGTATGCCAGGCCCCACGCTAAGTATTTTTACATATGCCAATTCATTTCTGCTTTACAACAAACCCAGGGGATAGATGATATTATAATCCTTGTTTTGCAGATGGGGAATCCGAGTCACGGAACTGTTAACTGTCCAAGATCACATGGTTAGTACGTGGAACAGCCAGACTTCACACCCAGGTGGTCGAGTTGCTGAGTCCACAGTTCACCATTGTCTGATCTTGCCCCATCAAAACTGTCTTCCTGAAATCAGCCCACAGGGTGGCTGAGCAAGCCCCTGGCCTTCCCGTGTTTTTGCTCTGGGAACTCCACCCTTTTCTATGTGTGAGCATTTCAGTGTTGTTTGGGGGCAATTTTGCTATGTCTAGACTGCTCTTTGTTTCCAGGTATGGTTCAGGCAGCTTGCCTGGAACCTGTGGGAAAGGGGATATTATTCCAGGGTTCCTTTGTGTGGCTGGCTTTGAAAAGCTACAGGGAATGGGTCCCTGCTTTGGCCGGGAGGGTCGGGGAATGGGACTGTGGTCATGGCTTGCCTTTCCAGCCCTAGCCTGCCTTGAGTGTCTGCTGGTGTCAGCTGGAGGGGCCTGTCTGGCAGATCCTGGGGGTTGGGCTGCTCCGGGCATGGGTGGAGTCAGCAGAAGCCCCTCCCACCCCCATCCAGTTAGCTTTGTCTTTTCTGCCTTCCCACTTCCCAGAGAGCTCAAGGGGGCCTGGCGAGTGAGTGCTTTGCAAGTCTGGATGCCCACAACCACCCCGGGCAGCTGATGCTTTTGTCCTTTCTGGTTTACAGATGGGGAAACTGAGGCACAGGGAGGTTAATTCACTTGCCTAGGGTTTCAAGGTGGTTGAACCAGGACTCAAACCTGGGTGGTCTGATTCCAGAGCCCGTTCCCATCATCCTAAGCTACACCTAGCTCACCCTTCTACAGAGCTCATTCTGTCCTGCACCAAAGCGGTCTGAGGGTAAAAATGGGGAGGGGATAGCCTGTGTCTGAGAGAGCAGCCAGCTCCCTTCGTTTTGCTAAGCAAAACGGGGCAGGCCTGAGGGGCTGCAGCCAGCGGATGCAAGGTCTTTGTGATGAGGAGTCTCCTTGGCAGGACACACCCAAGTGAGGGGGTCTCCTCTAGAGATGAGGGACTTCGCTCCTCCTCATCTAGCTTCCCCAAAAGCAAGAGCAAAGCTGGCTGAGATGTCTGGCCACAAGGCAGGGCACAACCTGGAACCGGGATCTGAGGTTCGGCCACACCGTCAGAGTGGGTGTAATCCACAGTTGGGGTGAGGGCTCAGTCTAGGGCAGGAAGAACAGGGTGCACAGTAGGTAGTCAATAAACCTTACATGTGTGGCCTAGTTAGAGCCTCGCGCTAACCACTGGGACTTTGTACCTCAGAAGCAGTTCCCACTACTGCCGGGAGGAGGGCATAGGCACGGATAGTGTTAGAAAACATGGCCCATAGGGAATTCTTGGGGAGTGGGCATAGTGGGGAGGAGGATCCCAGGAACATATAGCTCAGAGAACCTTGGCATCTAGGTTTCTAGGCCTGGACCCCTCCTCGGTGCTTTGGGGGGAATGGAGCTTAGTCTGGGCTCCTGGGGGTGACCCTCTGGTGGGAGTTCCCCCCCCATGGCCTCTAGGCTCAGACCCTTGTGGTTGAATCCTGAGGTCCTCACCTCGGCCATGTACTCCAGCAGACTGACATGGATGGAGACCAGGCCCGAGAAGCCCTCATCAGGGAAACGGAGGCCTTCCACGAAGAACAGTAGCTCTGCAGAGCCACCTGTGTACTTGACCCCGTGGTAGAGCTTCTTCCGGCCCAGGATGTGGATGTAGCGCTGGCCGAAGAACGGGTCTGCAGGCAAAAGATCGACATCAGCTTGCCAGCCCCCACCAGGAAGAGGTTGGTGGAGTGGGATCACTGACGGGCATGAGGGGCCAGAGGGGGCTTGTCCTCTAGATGCAGAGAGAATAGCATAAGCAGAAAATGCCACCAAAATGGCATGGCCCAGTCATTGTCATGGTCTCAGCACAGCTGTGCGCTAGCTGCTGGCTTCTGGCTTCCCCATCTGTGAAATGAGCTAGCTCTCTCATGAATGGCACATACGAAATGACAGCAGATGGTGACTGAGCAGCTGGTGGTGTTGGGGAAGGATATTATTGTTCCCATTTTACGGATGAGGAAACCGAGTCACAGAAAGGAAAAATGGCTTGTCCAAGGTCATAGAGCCAGAAAGTGGCTGAGTTGGGACTCAAATTCATTCAAATGTCTAATTCTGAATCCCAAGCTCTTATCCCCTTTATATAAAGAGAACACGGATGTGCCCATTTGTACCCCAAATTCCCCTCCATATAATGGAAGCCGTGTCTGCGTAAGGACCAGAAAGTGGCTGAGTTGGGACTCAAATTCATTCAAATGTCTAATTCTGAATCCCAAGCTCCTATCCCCTTTATATAAAGAGAACACGGATGTGCCCATTTGTACCCCAAATTCCCCTCCATATAATGGAAGCCGTGTCTGCGTAAGGACTAATGCAAGGTCTCTGGCTGTCCATTTTCATGGCTGGGAGGGAAGGCAGGTTTCTCCAGTGCTCCTGCCCCAGCTTGTCACAGTGCTGTTTCCCCTGCTTGGAACAGTCATGTCCCTCCTGCCTTCAGGTCTTGGTTTGTGTCACTTGTGGCACTCTGCCCAGATTCTCCACAGACCAAGCCAAGGGCACCTTCCGCAGCCCCCTGCCCTTCCCCATCACACCCTTTCTAAATGCATTTGACCTGTGTGAGGGCAGAGACAGGCCCGGTGGGGCCCAGTGCCTGCCTGGCATGTGGTCATGTTTAATGAATGTCCACTGAATGAATCAATGGCCCCCATACTACTCCCCATGGGAGAGGCCATTGGGGAATTTTCAGGCTGATTCAGAGCACATAAATTGAACTACTACTCTGTGACCAGCATGGGCAAGAACCTCTGGGGAAGACAAAAACGATCAAGATGCAGCATCTCTGTCTAAGAGCAGTGCTCGGCCGATGATAAGATAGGGCGGATGTGGGAAGCGTCGTAAGCGCAGCTACGGTGAGATCCCATCTGGTTACTTGGGGAGGGATGGAGGAGGGGAGGCAGGGTGGAAGGCATTTGAGCAGAGAAAGGCAGCTTTGGGATGCCCTCGTGGGGCAGCAGAGATGGATGCGGTGGGGAGAGGAGATACTTGCACTGGCAAAGGTATGGAGGTAGGACTCTATGCAGTTCCAGAAGGAGTTTCTTTATGCCCTGTAGAGCTAGAAGGGCAGAATCAGGCTCAGCCCAGTACTTTCAACAACAATGATAATGGTTAATGACCAGTCGCTCAAGGGTTAGAACATGTAACCAGAACAGTCCTAGCACAAACAAGGTGCCTGATTAAAACTTGTGAATGGAAATGGGCTTGGGAGGGCTCCTCCTGTAGGACAAGGTGCTCTACCAGACCTTGGTTATATTTCACGAAGGGCTGTTACCTTAGTGGTTATGACTTCCAACATCAGACAGACCTCGGTTCAAACACTGCTCTCGCTTGATAAGCTGTGACAACTCAGAGAATTCACTTAATCTTGCTGAGCCTCAGTTTACTCATCTGTTAAATGGGGGATAATAATACGCAGGCCACAGGGTCACTGCAAATGACACAGCATCAGTAACTGCAGTAACCTCGGTAACCACGGGTAACCATCGGTAACACAGCTGGGGCCCATTGGTATTATGATCATGAGAACCTGTGAATAAGTCAGCACACCACTTACTGCAAATGTCAGGACCTTTTCACTGAATGGCTTCTGAACAGAAGGCAAAGAAACAGCATCTCACTTCATCCTGCCTTGGGTGGGTCCAAGAAATGAGGTGGATAGAACTGAATGTCCCAAGGAACTTGTCACAGCCCCACACAGAAGCTGAGGTCCCGCTCACCCAGAAATGACAGTGTGTGCCCCATGGCTCAATCACTGAGTAGATGGATCTGTACAATTAAAAAATTCTCCCCCAGGCACTCAGACCCTCCCACACCCACATGCCCCAGGCTGCACTTGAACTAATGCTCAGGGGAGAAATCTCAGACCTAGAAGCCAACTTATCTTTGCAGAAGTGGCAGATTCAAAGCTTTCTCAGGGCTCAGGGCAGTGAGGGGTGGAAAGGGTTCCACCAGAGTTTGGGGTAGGAGGGGTATCTGGCCCGGAGAGATGGAAGGACACATTCTAGTCCATTTACTGGCTGCTTTCCCCAAACAGATGTGGCCCATGGCCTGCGATTCACAATATGTCTCTATCCTGGAGCTCTTTCTGGCAGTTCTGGCCAGCTCCAGGAGGATTGAATCCTTGGTGGGAATAATCCAGGCCATTGTCTCGAAAAGCCTCCTTTCCCTGTCTCCATTCCCCTTCCCCAGCTCCGTGCAGACCCCTTTTTCCCCCAGCATGGCTGGCTCTCCCTGCAGGAAGCAACAATGCCCTTCTATTAAGTGGCCCTCGTGCCTTGGGCAGAGCCCTCTGGCCACACTGACCTCTCCTCGGCCCTAAGTGTCGGCCCCAGCTGGCCAGCGCGTGCTATGGTTTGGTATAACCTTCCAGTCACTTTGGAATGATTCCACAGCCCAAGGAGACTCCTTGATAGTGTGACCAATTGTCTTGGTTCGCCTGGGACTAAGGAGTTTCTGGCATGACAGATTTTCAGTGCTAAAACCAGGAAAGTCCTGGGAAAACAGGGACAAGTTGGTCACTGTATCCTTGTACGAAGAGATAAGGCCCCAACTTTTGGGGTTCTGGGCAGAATCTGAGGCTGGAGCACAGTCACCAGGTCTTTCTAGGAGCATTGGAGATTCCTGTCCACTCCAATCCTTGTACTTAATAATCACCACAATAATCCCAACAAAAGCAGCAATTGCCATTTATAGAGAGCTTTCCACAGGCCAGCCACAGTGCTGAATGCCTGACACACATTCCTTATTCAATTCCTGCAGCCATCTGGGACAGTGGGACTCTTGTTCTTCCCATGCCACGTCACAGACAAGGACCCAAGGCCAGGGCAGGTGAGGAGACTTGCCTGGACCCATGCTTTGAATCTCCCTGAGCTCCCTCTCGTTGACTTGGTGTTGTCAGCACCACGCTCACCCAGTGAGCTGACCGGCCATCCCTATATGGGATCCGAACCCGGGGCCTTGGTGTTATCAGCACCGCACTCTCCCGAGTGAGCCACGGGCCGGCCCTTCTCATCCAGATTTTGACAAAACCCTAAAATGTTTGCATGGAAGAGAAGAAAGCTGCCACAGACTACTTGTCTTCCTTTTTATGCTCTTCCAGGACAGAGGTGACCATGTGACATTCATGTAACACAACATATTCTCATCCAGATTTTGACAAAACCTTAAAATGTTTGCATGGAAGAGAAGAAAGCTGCCACAGACTACTTGTCTTCCTTTTTATGCATGTGTGTGGCTCAGAGTATTCATGCAGGAGTCCGTGTTTTATGGGAAATGGACTATTCTAGGTTGTCACTGTCTCAGCAGCAGCCACTCCCTGCAGGACAGGAAGCCCAGATAAGACAGACTCTGGGGAATGTCTCAAAGCCCTAGCAGTCTTAGTTCCTCTTTTTTCTTGCCCGCACAGGACCCATCTCTATGGCAAATGAGGGGGAGGGATGTGATTATGGAACCAGACCTGAGTCCACTCCCATTAACAAAAAGAAGAAACCTTTAGATAACACTTAGACATCGCTATTAGCAACAGGTCTCATGTCAGGGCACCGAGAGGAGAAGCCAGGTGGAAGTCCTGCCTGTACCCTCCTGCCCCTGCTGTGGCTCCACCCCCCTCCCGTAGCAACCCTGGCCTGGGCGCTGTAAACATCAACATCTCTGGCCCCCTGCAGCGGTGGAGCCGGCCTGACTCTGGGGACATTCTAGCCAGCATGAGGTCACTGCCTGGGGCAGCGGATCAGAAGGAGGGCTGGCATCAGGTGGCCGCTGATGTCATCCTGTCCACTGCCATCCTGGCTAAATTGTTCCCGAGTGAGAGTCCAACGCCCTCCTGACCAACTCCCCATGGTGACTGTCCTGGTTCTAGTGGGCCCGTCCAGAGGTGGGCCTGATACTTAACCAGAAATCCTGGGCTCCCCAGACAGCTGGGCACGTAGAAACCTCCCCCAAGCCATGCACCATGGCAAACTGCAAAGATGACTGTTTTGCTGAGGGAGCATTTTAATACATAAATTAGATCTTGACAGTCTCTTGCTTAAAGCCCTCTAATGGCTTTCTAATGAACTTGGAATAATATACAAACCCTGTCTGCATGCTTTGGTACCTGGCCCAGCTCACTGACCTTGACTCCCAGCACACTCCCCTGGCTCTGGTTGTCTTTCTACTGCTCCAACACTCCAAACTGGATCCCTTCTTCACTTTTGAACATGCATCCTCTGCTTAGAACACTCTTCTCTTAGCTCATGAATGGCTAGCTCCTTCTCATGGTTGGTTTGAGTCTCAGCTCAAATGTTACCCCCTCAGAAACGCCTTTGTGGACCACCCAGCCAGAGGTGCCTCTGCCGCTGCACCTCTCTGTTACTTGGTCTATTTCATTTCTTCCAATCATGCTATTTATTATGTCTCCCTCACTAGACTGGCAGTTCCTCGAGGGCAGGGTGTGACTGTCAGGTTCCCTGCAGGGATCCCAGCACCAAAAACAGTACCTGGCACCAAGAGAGTTCAACATGTATTCATAGAACAAGACAGGGCAGGCAGCTACAAGGACCAGCTCCATGGCAGGAGCACATTCCCTATGCAGTGGGGCCCAGGACACCCTGTCGCCATCAAGGAGAACAAGGGGTCCACTCCTCAAGTGTGCCCACAACATCTGCAGGGGTCTTTAAAGTCAGAGATGGCAGAAAACACCTGGAGGTGGTGCCTGCCTCAGGAATCATAAAGGTGACGTGACTACAGAAAGTGGGGAGCTCTGAAGCCCTTCCTCCCCTGGTTCATCAGAAAGAACAGACCCATGTCACTGCAGACTCCGTGAGAAGAGGAGATATGTATCCCGTGGAGTCTCCCAACTTCACAGGATGGCAGCATTTCCTAGTTACAATTACTTAGAGGCCTGTTCTGGTGCTTTGCAGTCACCCACACCCGCAGAGGCCACAACTGCTGAGGGGAGGAGAGTGGGTGGCCTTAGAGGGCAGTGCTGGGTCACTCACTCTCCACGTAGAACACGCCCACTTTGTCCGAGTCCGACATGGAAATGTAGAGAACCATCTCATATCCGATGGGGAGGCGGTCGGGGCCTTTGGTGCGCAGGATCATCTGGGACATGTCCTTGAGGTCTGAGGGGCAGAAGCACAGGAGGTTAGAATGAGGGGACCTGCTGCTGGAGCGCTGGCCTGCCAATGCCTTTGGCTTTTATAGTTGGGAAAAAGAAAACCCCACATGTGTATTACAGGAACTATACAAAAACAAAAGGAGAAAAGTAAATCAGCTGTCATCTCCAACACCAGAGACAACCTCCTATTAACCTTTTGGGAATTTCCTTCCCGTCTATGTATGTGTGCAGCTTTAAAAAAAACATGGTTCCATCCATTCTTGCCTTCTTTTAGAAAAGAAGAAAACCCCCAAAACCATGGTTCCAGTTGAACTGTATTGACCGTTTCTTCCACTTTGAGCAAGTGTGGATATTTCAGTTTTCCATCCCTGGAGACCCAGGTCTTTACCTGCCTCATGCTCTGCCCTGCCCAGGGCTTGGCATGAAATCTTTCCACTGCCTCCCCAACCCCAAGTATGGGTCCTTCTGGCACCTTCCTTGCTGTAGACCTTCTCATCACTGCAGTCCTCCTTGGGCAGCCAGGGTGTGTCTCGGTCACAGTTCACCAGCAGGATGGCCCCCTGGCCCTCGGGACCCCAGGTCCAGGACGCCTGCAGCGGCAGGAAGAGAGGTCAGTGCCCTCTTCTCTATCCCAGTACAGTCCCCACGGGATGCTGGAGAGACAGCCTCAGGAAGAGGATGAAGAGCAGCCACCACCCACCGGGCAGCTGTGACCTGGCAAACGTGAACCCCAAGACTGATGCCCAGAGAGGACCAATGTGAGCATCAGCGGCAGTTCAGCAGGGGGCAGCGGCAGAGAGACAGGAAGCTGGCCGGGCATTCGTGGGCCTCACGTCTGGTGTCGCTGCTCCCGGTAGGGGTGGAGGCAGGGAGGAGGAGGGTGGCCAGAGAATTGAGCAGACAGACATTCTACGACAGGCCCTGACGTCCCTAAGGGGGATCAGAGGGAAACGCTTGGAGGACAGACACCAGCTCTTTCCAGACATGCTCTGAGCCTCCAAAAGGGAAAGGCACAGAGCTCCATTTTCTACTTGCAGCCAGAGTGCCACCAGAGCAAACTCTGACAGATCATGTCACTTGCCAGCTCCCTGCTGACTCAGGATAAAGCCCTGATTCCTCGCTGTGGCCTGCAAGGCCTGGCCTGACCTGTCGTCCTCTCCAGTCTCACCTCCTCCTCTTTGCCCACTCACCCTGCTCCACCCACACTGGCTGCCTTTCTGCTCCCCAGACTCCAAGCTCTATGACCTTTGCCGGCGCTAGTCCCTCTGCCTGGAAAGCCATTCTGCCTCTTTTCACCTGCCCAACTCTACTGCTTCTCAGCCACAGCATAACTATCCCTTCTTCCAGGAAGCCTTCCTGAGTCTCCACACCAGAGTAGCTTTGCTGGGACTACACATGGACTGTACACATCCTTTTTGGGAGGACTTAGGATGATCGGGATGACACAGCTACCCACGTCAAATGTGGGTGTCTGCCACTGGACTGTGTGCAGGAGCTGTGTTTCTCTTGTTCTTTCAGCATCCCCTGGGCCTGCCCTAGTCCTGGAATATAAAAGATGCTCAATGAGTATTTATGGGATGAAGAAAGAGTATGAACATTTCACTGGTCCAGGTGTAGAAATACTGGCCAAGTTCAGGCCCACAGGGAATGCATAACTTTTCCAGGACTGCGGAGGGGAGGTTGGAAGGCTTCCTGGGCTGCTGGGACTCAGAGGCCTCTGCAGATTCCACTGTCAGAGGATGTAGCCACAGACACAGAGAAAGCATATGCAGGGCTGACCAAGGGCTGGGGCAAAACCTTGTTGCAGAGCCTGGAAGAAGGGGTTACAAACAGGCCTGAGGGACCTGTCCCACCTGCAGAGAGTCTGTGTTGGGCTGCTAGGCCCCAGTCTTCTCACTTGGCTGTATTTATTTGACTTTTTTGGGGAGGCTGGCTAGTATGGGGATCTTGACCTTGGTGTTATTAGCACCACACTCTCCCAAGTAAGCTAACCGGCCAGCCCTATTTTACTTTTTAAAGTACCCATCTATTGATAATTTAACCTAGGCTTCAGATTGCTATTATAAAAGTCACATATGCCCACGGCAAAATTTAGAAGATACGGAACAGCAGAAATGGAAAATAGTTAGAGGTAACAGCCTGGATGTACACACAGCAAAACTGATGGAGCTTAAAAACTGGTTGAGGGAAAAGTACAGAGCAGAATGAGATCAGGAACATCATGCTATCTGCACAAATTAAAAATACATGCACACCAATGATACTGCATATTTCCTAAAAATCATAAGAACAGAAAGAGACACATTAAACCCATTAAAATGGTCCTTTGTGGGGGAGAAGAACAGGAGTAGGGGAATGCAAAATAAAAGAAAATAAATAAATGAATGAAGGAACAAATGAATGAATGGTGAATGAATGAATGAATGGAAACAGGAGAGGGGCTGTGCAGGCACCATCAGAGATAACATGTCTTGAACAGTGAATGATTAAGGATCTTCCCCAACCCCCTGAATTTTAAAATAAAAGAAAAGGCAAAATAATAAGAGCAGATGCCTTTGCAGCACTCTGTCTGTTGCAGGCACATTTATTCTTTACAACAGCTCTATGAACTGGGTAGCTGCTTTGCAGCTGTCTCTATAAGGAGCCTGGGCTCTGTCATTAGTGTGCTGTGTGTCTGGGAGCCTGTCCTGGGCCTCAGTCTCCTGATCTGTGAACTGGGAGTTATCTGCTTGGTGGGAGGACCATGGCTGCTGCAGGATCCAGTTTGGGGTTCTCCCCGTGGAAGTCCCCTGGTTCAGGGTGGTGTCTGCCCTGAAAGCTAGTTACCTTCTTTGGGTTGTTCTTCTCCACCACTCCATCCCGGTCTGCATCCACATCCAGGGAGATCTCTGGGGACAAGAGACATGGGTGAGTTGCTGAGCCTGCCAGACAGGATGGGGCCATGGACAAGAGGAGGACCTGTGGGATTAGGGTGCAGCTCACCCATTCACGCAGTCACTGGAAATGGAGGGCCTTGCTGAGCTCGTCTTCTCCAGCCCCCTGCCTCAATACCCCAGTACCTGCTGGAGAACTCAGCAGACACTGTGCAGACTTCGCAGCTTCCAGCTTCCAAAGGTGCTGTTGGGTAGGTCAGGACTGTCCCAGTACTTCATTGCTCTGGGTGGGGGTTGTGGGGCTGGCCCTCAGTCTGAAGATCTGAGAACCTCAGTTCAGAGAGGCAAAGTCACATGCCCGAGGTCACACAGGTGGCGTTAGCTGAACTGGGGTACAATTTGTGGTTGGTCTGTTTCATAGTTCATGTTTCAAAAACTTACAGGCACAGGATTCGTCTGTCCTGGGAGGCATGTGCATATGTGTGCACACGTACACCTGTGTGTGTGCACATCTCTCTTCCTCTCCCAGAACTTGCAGTGGTCTAGATCCCACCTCCAAGGACTGAGGGTTTTACTTTGGGTGGGAAACCATGTCTCCAACCCCGCTTGATCTAAGGGTGCCTGTGAACTCAAGGCTTCAGATAGAGTATCCAGGGTGGGGCCCCCACTTATTTCCTCTTTTGGGGAAGGAACCTTCAGCATCCCTAGGCCATGGAGACAGGCTTTATGGAGGCTGTGGGGCAGTGAAAAGTTTAGCATCTTACAGTGTTGGGTTTGAACCCTGGTTCTGTGATTACGAGCTGGGTGACTTTTGGAAGGTTAGACAACCTCTCTGAGCCCCAGTTTCCTTACCTATAACATAGGGCCCTTTCCAGGTATAGCAGTTACACTGACTGCAATGGTAGGCACTATTAACAATTTGAACAGAGACAGTGACGCTGGGAGTGTGTCCCAGAATGAGATGTGCCAGTTCCAAGTCCTTGGACCTGCCCGAGTGGGCTTGTCCCACGCCGAGCATGACTTGGACCGTGGTGGGAGTTGGGTGGGAACAAATGCATTCCTGGTCAGTCCCCTTGGCAGGCATGCCTTCTCCATAAATGGGGTGGGGAGGAGGGTCCTGGCACAGGCAGGGCACTAATGTCACCCTTCTCTGGGAGGCTCAGCCCAATGGAGTCCAGGGGCCACATTCTAGTCCTCCTTTGCCCACAGCCCAATTCCTTCTCGACCCTGAGAGTGACTTTTCTGGGTCTAGTAGGAGGCAGGAGGGTGGACGTTGTAAGGGTGCTTGGTACTGGGAGAGGCAGCCCTCCAGTGTCCCAACCTCTGCAGCACTGCTGTGAGTTAGATGCCATAAGTCATAACTTTATGAGCTCCTCCCACTGATGCCATTCATTCAGCATGTCACTGGAGCATCTACTGAGTCCTAGGCACTGGGCATGGGGGCACAGTGCCTGCTCTCAAGGAGCCCATGGTGCATAACTTTATGAGCTCCTCCCACTGATGCCATTCATTCAGCATGTCACTGGAGCATCTACTGGGTCCTAGGCACTGGGCATGGGGGCACAGTGCCTGCTCTCAAGGAGCCCATGGTGTGTGAGATACATATGATGGCTCCCATTTCACAGGTGAGCAAATGCGGGCTCAGAGAAGTCACCTGTCAGCACACCGGGCTGATGATCCAGGAGGCTGGTGCAGGGAGAGGGAAGGCAGTGCCACCAGCTGCTGTGAAGAGGCTGAGGGCTCAGGTGCAGGAACAATATTGGTTTTGGCTCCCAGACCTTCACAAACTTTCCAGCTGTCACACCCCAGTGAATGCAGCCTTTCAGGGAGGTCGGCTTCCTGACGCTCCTCCTGGGAACTAGCTGCAGACCCAGCCTCCTTAAGAGCCTCTCCCGGCTTGTCAGGATACCCACTTCTCCTGCGTATGCAGCTCCCTCTGCCAGCTGCAGGGCACGCTCTACTCCATGCTCCACGACACACTCTCCTCTGGTCACATGCAGATGAGGAAACCGAGGCACCCAGCAAGGATGTGCCACTAAAGTTCCCAGAGAGCGCAGGGCCAGGCGTCCCACTTGGGCCTCTGACTCCAGATCCCTGCTCTCTGCTGTTCCCAGGCCGACCTCCGGCTGACCTCCACCCTGGGCTGTTTCCAAAAGCCACGCCCACCTTCAAAGACCCAAGACTTGCTCCTCTTAAGGTCATTCATAGAGCAGGGGACCATATCCCACTCTGGCAGCCTTGTGGCCTTTGTCTCTAGGCTGCAAGGTGACACTATACTGAGACTCCTTGTGGTGTATCCTTTTTTTTTTTTTTTAAAGATGACCGGTAAGGGGATCTTAACCCTTGACTTGGTGTTGTCAGCACCACGCTCACCCAGTGAGCTAACCGGCCATCCCTATGTGGGCTCTGAACCCGTGGCCTTGGTGTTATCAGCACTGCACTCTCCCAAGTGAGCCACGGGCCGGCCCCTTGTGGTGTATCCTTTTTTTTTTTTTTAAAGATGACCGGTAAGGGGATCTTAACCCTTGACTTGGGGTTGTCAGCACCACGCTCACCCAGTGAGCTAACCGGCCATCCCTATGTGGGCTCTGAACCCGTGGCCTTGGTGTTATCAGCACTGCACTCTCCCAAGTGAGCCACGGGCCGGCCCCTTGTGGTGTATCCTTTAAAGCAGTGGATCAGAGGAGAGAAATATGAAGCACTTTATATGGCTTTATTTCATTACACATTTCTTAAATTAAAAAATTTTATTAATGTAATATTTGCACATAGTGCAAAAAAGAAAAAAATCAAATCAAAGAGTACCAAACTGCTTCTAAAGAAAAAGAGCAGTTCCCTGTCCAGCCCTTCTCCTTACCTGCCTCAGGCAACCTACCTAGCACTAAATAATGTGCTTATAGCTATTTCCTGATTTATTAAACTCAGACAGGTTTCATTGCCTTCCTGTTATGTAATTTGGGCATTTCATAATTGGGCTCATTTGTCACCTCTCCCAACCTCCCACAGTGCTTCACAATTTCTCTCTCATGACCCATGACTTGTCCCCATAGTCCACTAGAATGGTCTCCTCTCCCCTCTTGAGCCCCCATCAAGCTACAAGCCATTTCCCCAGGACTTCTTCCCTGCGAGGCTTCCCCCAATGTCCAATTTAACTAGAGTCCAATGGAATGATGCTTATAGGGACAGAGAACAGGGCTGGCATGGCCTGCCCAGAACTCTGCCCTCCTGGGATGGCTCTGCCTTTCCCAGGGGGAGGAGGAGGGACAGGACAACTGTTTCAGGGCCTCTGGGCTCCAGACAACATTTCCCGGAGGCTCCGGATCCTACCTCAGCTCCCCAAAATAGACCCAAGGTGTCAGGTGGCACCCTGGGTGTAGGGCAGATTAACGGGAAATGTCACTAGGACTGGGTTCAAGGCAGTCTGCCCTGAAAATTAAGACATTGAGGCCTCAGCCACGACCCAGAGGCATAAGCATTTTGGTGGGTGGCCAGCCCCATGGACAGTGGCAGGGAGCCTGGTCTTCTTGCCTTACTGAGCAGCTTGGGGTGTGGTGGGGAGGAAGGGCTCCCTCCCCCACAGCCAACTGGGCAATTATCCTAGGCTCTGGGGAAGGGGCACAGGAACAAGCTCCTCAGGTGCATGCTCAAAATTCTCCAGACCCATGTATGGGTACTGCTCCCACTGCCAGGACACAGCAGAGGCTGGGACACTTCCTCCCACCCTCCCCAAATCTCTCCCCTCCCACTCTCCCCAAACAGGGAAGCCTTTGCAAAATCAGCCCTAATTGAAGCCTTGAAGGTCCTCAGGGATTAATAAACTCAAAACCCTCATTTTATAGCTTGGAAAAAGGGTGGGCTACCTGTCAAGGTCACACAGCATGTCCTTGGCAAGACTGGGGCCAAGACCCAGGACCTGATTTGGCTAAAGGCACCATGGGCTTGTTCCCAAATCCCAGGGGAAGAGAGGGGTGGTAAGTTTCTTCACTTTCACCCAGGCAGAGAGAAAATGTGGCTGCCCAAGAGGAGAGGAGAAAAGAAAGAGACGTCAGCTGAGCACCTGATCTGTGCCAGGCACTTTGCATGCACCCTGCTGCCGAATTCTTGTAAGCATCACGTAAGAGTGCTCTGTGAATCCCATTTTGCAGATGAGGAAACAAGGCTCAGCGGGGTGATGAGTCTTGCCCAAGGTCATAATGCAGCTGCAGGGGCAGAGCCAGAACTTAGACTTATTTCTGTCTACTCTGAAGCTCTGTCTTTCTACTCAGTGTGGTCTCAGGACAGGACTTGGGTAAGATGGATTCAGATATATCTTTGTGGGGGCACTCCCACCATGTCCAGATGTTCAGGGTGTCCATGCCTCTGAGGTGCTGCCCCTAATGTTCACTCAGGATATGGGGCTCGAGGGCTCCTGGGGTAGATGCCCAAGGGAAGAGAGGACCTGGAGGGGACAGCTAGACCAGTGGTTCCCAAGGGAAATCAGATTTTCACCAGTGTCCTTCCTGGTAGAACAGGAAACATAAGTTCAATGGGGTGAATTTTTCATAAAGCCTTATTTTTGCAATGTAAATGACTATCCTTTATTCTGAGATTATACCCTGCCTATTTTTTCGGTATTAAAATGATGATGATAGTTGATAGCAAATTGTTTTATTAAATGTCTTTTTTTTTTTTTGGCCAAGCATCAAAGTTGTCTAATTTGGGGAAGGGGGAGGGGGCGGGGGCCCATGGAATCTAAATATCTGGAACTTGTGGCAGTTAAATAATTAAGTGAAATCACAACCTCAGGACCTCAAATGGATGAGCTCAGTCATTTATCATGGGCGTATTTGGTATCTTCTGGGGCTCAGCCCTGCTGCTTCTGTGAGCAGCCTTCCTCTGAGCACAGCTTTGTGGTTTTCTAGTGGAGAGGAAGGGTCTGATCCTGCCTCCCTCTGGTGCTTTATTTTGCTATCTATGCTAAGTCTGTCTTGTTAATGGTGCAGTCAGCCCTCTGAAATCACCCTCATTTGACAGGTCTCTGGCCACTGCCCTTCCTGCTTATGTCCTCAGGTGTCCCTGTCTCTGTGGGATTAGGTTTCCCCAGGGACAGTCATCTGAGATAGGCTGGGGGCTATGCATGCATGCAAGGTTTGCACACGTGCCAGGGCTCAGCACAGCCCAGGAGTCTTTGGTTACCATCTTCCAAGGCTCCCCTGAGGTCATTAGGAGGTCCCCCTCCCCAGGGCTGGGTGCCCCCTCAGTGCAAAAAGAGGGACAGGGTGACCAGCAACCAAGCCTGTTTGGGAATTAGCTGAGAAGCAGAAGAGCACTGCTGTTGAGCCTATTTCAGCGGCTAAGAGCACAGAGAAAGCTAGAGAAGGTGGGGCTGGCTTGGGAGCTGTTACTTTTGGGGGAGGTTCCAAGACCCCTGTAGAATGTGAGATAACTGAAATGATTCAGTGTCCCACCAACCACTTTCCAGGTGTGTGGCCTCAGGCAAATTTTTGTTCTGTTGTTTTATGTTTTCTGAGCCTTGGTTTTTTCATCTGTAAAATGGGGATATAATAGTGTCTATCCTTGAAATGGTTGTAAGAATAGATTGAAATCATGACAGTGAAACATCTAATATGAGCACACTATAGGTGCTCAATAAATGTCAGGTGTCTATCATCTTCTTCCTCCTCCTGCCCCTCAAACCACCCAGCACAGTCCCAGACACAGAGCAGGTATGTGATAAATAGGAGACATCACTATTATTTTTAAAGCACTCAACACATAGTTGGTGTTCCATAACTGGTTGTTTCCTTCCTCTGCCATGTGGCAACTTGGTCAATGTTAGACCAAGGCTGGATGAACAAAACAAACCTCTGAAATGTCCTCCTGGCTTAATCATTTTATGGTTAAAAAATAAAATAACATAAAATAAAAGTAACACCTTAATTGCAGGAGGATTGAGCTACTGAAGGTTCAGAAGATCTCATCCTGGGCCCTGCTGAGCCAGGCTGGACTCTGCCTCCCCAGTGCGCAGGCATGGCACCCAGGGCAAGTGGTGTGGTGCCGTAGAAAGAACTGGGAGGGGGATAACCCTGAGTTCCGGACTCAACTTGCCATTGAGTTGCTGTGTGACTTTGATGAGTTCCCTAACCTCTCTGGACCTCACCATCCTATGGGTCAAATGAAGGGCTTGGACTGGGTGAGTTAAAGACCCAGGGCTGCATCTCTGTGCCCTGGGGCTGGGGCTGGGGAGGACCAATGGGCGTTGGGGATTGTCAAAGACATTGTCAGGCTTTGTAGACTGTGGCCATTTCCCTTACCAGGAGAGGAAAGCTCTTCTCCAGGCTGCAGGGGAGAGGGGCGAGGAACAGACTTTCCTCTTTGTCTTCCATGGCCCACAGAGCCTGCAAAGGGGAACCTGACATTGGTGAGTCACTGGCAGACCAGGGAATGCCTCCTCCTGCAGGAAGCCCCCCGTTCCAGTAGGAAAGGGCAGGGCACATGCAGCATCCTTCCACAGGCCTGCATTATTCAGGAGAAGCTCCAAGTGCCAGGTCTGCAGCGTTGAAAGCAGCCCAAGGGCCACCAAGAAGGGTAGCAATGCCACACCAACTCACCAATGGCCGTGAGGAAGAGCCCCGCCTGGTCGATGGGAATGGTCCCTTCCTCGTCATAGTAGTTGACGGTGACCTTGGTGCGGGGTGGAGAGAAGAGCAGAGATCACAGATCACAAGCAGGAAAATCTGAAGTAATCATCTTCCCTGCCTCACACCTCACAACTTGTCATGCCAACCCTCTCCAAACATCTGAACCTTCTCCTCCAGGAAGCACTCCTGGGTTTGTGGGCTGCGTCTCCCAGATAATTGAACTGGATGGTGAGCTCCCCTCCTCTCAGGGTGCAGCCAGGGTGCCGCCTGCCCATCTGTGCCTTGTATGCATTCTGCTGCCTGCAGAGTCCCCACAGTTGCCGTGTTGTATGTCCAGCTTCTGCTAAGCTCCCAGGGGACAGGGCTGAGGTTGTTTTCTTTGGATAATGCCCAGTGCCATCGCTGAGATATGACAAAGTTCATAAGTAGGGAACCCAGAGAGGAGACAGTTCTGGTCTTGGCTTTACCACTTGGGCAAATCCCTCTAGCCCACGGGTACCCAGAAACCCCTTTCACGGCCAATGAGACCAAGGATGCTTGTGGCTGTAACTCCAAATGATCCCATGGTTCTGAGTTTCTAAACTGCCTGCCATTCAGCAGTCCACAGTTTTAACCTTCTATGAAGCCACCATTCCATGGTCTTACGTCGTGCTGTGCAACGCAGCAGTCACTAGCCCACGTGGCGACTGAGCATGTGAAATGTGGCTAGTCTGAAGTGAGATGAGTTGTAAGTGTAAAACACACACTGGATTTCGATTTGGTATGAAGAACGGTATAGGCCCTTGGTTAACATTTTTTATATTGATGACATGTCAAAAGGATAATATTTCAGTATATGGGGTTATGTAAAATACATTCTGAAAACTGGAAATGATGTAGGTGGCTCTTTCTGTTTCCACTGGACAGAGCTGGTCACGCCTGCCTCTATTCCCACATGGCTCCTGGGCTCCTGCGGCCCTTGAGTGCTGACGTCCCCAGCCAAGGTACCTTGTCACTGCTGGCCTCGGTGCTCGCCTGGCTCATGGTGAGCCGCAGTGTGGTACTAGGTGACAGAGGCCAGCGCTGTTTGCCATTGGTGGCTACCTCCTCAGCCTGCCCGTCCCGTACGATCTCCACCCGCACACGCTCTGAGTGCTTCAGGCTGAAGGTTTGGGCCCCAGCGGGGGCCGCGCTATAGAGAGAGAGAAGAGAGGGTCAGCAGAAGCCCTGGGGCAAGTGGAACAAGGAGCTTCAGGAGAAGACTCCTGGAGGGGCAAGGATGCAAGGGCCCTGCCAGGTCATCTAGTCTGGGGGACCCCAAAGGAACCAGCTGCTTTGCAATTACCTGGTAATGGAGAGAGCACTTGCTAAACATACAGATTCCTTGGGCCAATATTGTACCTACTGAATCCGAATGTTGGAGAGTGGGGCCCAGGAATCTGAATTCTTAACAAGTTTCCTCATGCTTTGGATGGGTGGCCTGCTTTGGGAGCCACATGGGCATATGACTGAGGAGTGAATTTGGTCCAAAGGCAGAGCTGGGCCTAGAACCCTGTCTTCCTGTCCAGTGTCTCTGAGCAAAGCGCTGAGTTCTCACAGAGCCAGAGCTGGGAACCTGGGTCCTAAAGGGGTAGGGCTGAGGTGGCTCTGTCACAAAGACCCTCTCTTTCCCGCTGCCCCAGCTTTTCTTGGCCTGGAATTCCTCACCTTCTGAGAGTCATTCCCTGGGGTTCAGAAGTGGTCTTCTATTGAAAGGGAAATACTTCTGGAATTCTTAAAAAGTCATCAGGACTTCAGGGTAGGAGAACTAACTGGTTTAAACTGGCTGCTATCGATGTTTGTGCTCCATGTCCCCATTCATACACTGAAGCCCTAAACCCCAGTGTGACAGTATTTGGAGATAGGGCTTGTAGGAGGTAATTAAGATTAAATGAGATCATCAAGGTGGGGTTCTAATTCAATAGGATTGGTGGCCTTATCAGAAGAGAAAGAGAGAGAGATCTCTCTCTCCATGTGCACACACCAAGGAAAGGCCATGTGGGATCCGAACCCTCGGACGGGAGCGCCGCCGCGCTTCCCAAGCGGCGCACTATCCAGTGCGCCACCGGGCCGGCCCGGAATCTGAATTCTTAACAAGTTTCCTCATGCTTTGGATGGGTGGCCTGCTTTGGGAGCCACATGGGCATATGACTGAGGTCTAGACTGAGGAAGCATATGACTGAGGAGTGAATTTGGTCCAAAGGCAGAGCTGGGCCTAGAACCCTGTCTTCCTGTCCAGTGTCTCTGAGCAAAGCGCTGAGTTCTCACAGAGCCAGAGCTGGGAACCTGGGTCCTAAAGGGGTAGGGCTGAGGTGGCTCTGTCACAAAGACCCTCTCTTTCCCGCTGCCCCAGCTTTTCTTGGCCTGGAATTCCTCACCTTCTGAGAGTCATTCCCTGGGGTTCAGAAGTGGTCTTCTATTGAAAGGGAAATACTTCTGGAATTCTTAAAAAGTCATCAGGACTTCAGGGTAGGAGAACTAACTGGTTTAAACTGGCTGCTATCGATGTTTGTGCTCCATGTCCCCATTCATACACTGAAGCCCTAAACCCCAGTGTGACAGTATTTGGAGATAGGGCTTGTAGGAGGTAATTAAGATTAAATGAGATCATCAAGGTGGGGTTCTAATTCAATAGGATTGGTGGCCTTATCAGAAGAGAAAGAGAGAGAGATCTCTCTCTCCATGTGCACACACCAAGGAAAGGCCATGTGAGGACACAGTGACAAGGTGGCTATCTGCAAGCCAAGAAGAGAGACTGCACCAGAACCTGACCTTGGTGGCACCCTGATCTCGGACTTCCAGTCTCCAGAACTGTGAGAAAATGCATTAGTTTTTAAGCCACCCAGTCTATGGTGCTGTGTTACGGCAGTTATGGCTTAAGGAGAGGCAACGGGAAGGACAGGGAGACCCAGGAGGAAGGTGCCCAGGGTGATGGCTTTGCTAAATCCAGCCTCAGTCTGAAGGTTCCTAAAAGCCAAAGAGGGCTCGGAGGGATTCAAGTGAGATTCTAATGGGATTTGTGACTAAGACGTAGGTGTAAGAGTGTCTCAAAAGCACATCTGCTATTTTGGGATCCCGGTGTTCCTGGGTTCTCGGAGTTCTCAACTGTGGT